TGCAATTTTTGCCTCTGATCCTAATGCCCAGCTCAAGTTCCGGACAGCCAGATAAACCTGGAATAAATCCAGAATCCACATGGTCACTAGAGAAGGCCTGGACATTGCTTTAGCCACCCCCTGAAGTAAGTGATAAAAATTATTTTCCTCATGTTTCATTTCAGTTTTAGAAAAACCAAAACTTTTTACAATTACAGTAAAAACATAAGAAGCAACAGAGAAATAAGTGTACCAGTTTATAATAGAAGACCATCTCCATGTCCTAAAGAGAAAGTATTGCACCCTAATAAGGTATTAGCTTTATTTTTAGGCAGAAATTAATTTGAGGAGCTATCGGATGCCAGAATAGAATAGATCAGATTCTCTTGTTGTTGTTTTCAAACCACAAAGAGTTACCAAAGCTTATTTTTAAGCAATAATAGATTGTCAAGTCCATTTAGTTAGTACATTACAGTGTTGATGTTTTTCAGGTTAAAAAGGATGAAACTGAAATTGAAATCTGCAAATTAGAACCATTGGCAGATAGGATTTTTGTTTGGATTTGTTTTGGCTTTAATTTTAGCTAGTTTGTAACTTTTAGGCATCAGTCTAAGGGTGGGGCTCTGTTGCACTAGGATGACACGTGAGATGTCTGGCATGTGCTTTTTTTGGCATTTATATCCTACATGACATTACTAATGATTATAGTGATTCCACGACAATGAACAAAGAACAAATATGGATGTGAAGATTACAGAGCAAAAGGGTGGGTGGAGACAGGGACAACGGACCGACTTTTTTCACTCCCCCAACCTACAACATTCACATTTATTGGAGATTTATGGCAACAAAAGTTGAAACTATTGCCTAAAAGTGAACTGATCTGGGTTCAGCCCTTGAGCCTCAAGAGAATGTGACTCAGGCATATATATTAATCTGTAGAAGAGTTTGTCTATATAAATGATTATGATTGTGTACCCTGAATTTCAAGTACAAGAATTGCAGGTAAATAGATTACAGCCATTAACAGTTAGATAATAAATGAAGATGTTATCTAGCTAACACTGGGGGAACAATTTCAACCAATGATAACAAATTCAATGGCGCAATATTAGAGCTACCCACATCTGAAAAAAGCCTGATCATTTATTATTTCCTGCTCCATCCGGCCTGCTGCTCAGAAAAAGAAAATGTAAACAATTTGGGCTGGATTTATTCCAGGTTTATCTGGCTGTGCGGAACTTGAGCTGACCATCCTTCCCAAACCCCTCCAGATCTCCTAAGACTTCAATCTCCAGAATTCCTAGTCAGCATATATACTCTTGCAGGTTTGCTACATTGGAGTCCTAATTCATGCAGAAAAGATGCTCCAGGTGCTAGTAATAGGATGAGTTGGGAAACCAAACCCTTTTATCACCATAAATTGCATAGCTAAAGTGGATAATTCTTTGCTAATGGAAGCTTCTACATTGCTTCACCATAATGCCTCAATATACTATACACATCCTTTTCATTCATACTAAATCGTCTGTCCTAGCTAAGCCTGCCAGCATTCACACCTGATCAGACTGAAAGTTTATTTTGAGGCTAGTTTGATTCTGCTCCATTACATTTGTAATGAAAATAAAACAGCTTTTCTTTCTATAGATAGGTAACAATCTTAAATATTCTTGTTTTATCTTTGGTTTACAAATTATATATTATTTAATTGTTCCTTCTCTTTAGCAAGAGTGCACTTTGAAGTGTCTGTAATATACATATTTACATATGTTTAATCACTTACATGACAGATGATTTACTAAAATATTTAAATGGAGAAGCAAGCCTTGTAAATAGTATATGTTTTGAATGTAAGCACTACTCCAGGATGGCTTTTACTGAGCTTTCTGATCATGGATTTGCAGTGGTGTGTGGAAGACTTCCCAGGGTCCAAAGAAACCATGTATGTATCAAACTTTTCTTCTGGCAATTTCAGCTAACGCTAAGCAGGCACTCCTGAGCTGATGCAAGTCACAATTTTAGTTAGGCGCTTGGAGACAGTGAGCATAATTCTTTCCAATACACACAAGCCTAAAATGGGAAAATGGTGTTTTAAAATTAATTTAATTTCCTTGCTGCTTCCAGAAGAAAGATAATATTTTATGGGCTAAATTCCTTCAAGTGTACTATACTGTAGTTGTTTCAAAATAAAACAATGTAATAGACTCCAGCTAGAAAAGGCAGGAACTTGCCCTAAGACAGTTAAAAATAACATGCTAAAAAAAAGCAAAAAAAGACTCACTTGAAAAAAGCAGAAAGCTTGCCAATGGAGAGGGTAGGAAATGAAGGAAAGGGTAGAAACTCTAGCAAGCCTTATATCCTGTAGTGTAGATAACAGCAAGCAAATAGTTAGGAATATGTTGCTGAAAATATATAAACCAAATGAATATAAGAACTTGCAATTCAGTATCTTGCAGTGCTTTTGTATAAAATAACCGTAAAACAAACTAGCTAAAAATTAGGGAGCAGAAAAGAGGAATACATGGAACATTTTTACAAATTTGGGATAAGAAATAAAAGTTAAACTATACAATAGAAGCATTTATATTAAACATACTTAAAATCCAGTTTTTGGAGGATTGAAGTTGGGAGGGTTACATCAAATTATTCAAGATGCAGTAATCATAGCCAGAGCTTTAAAAAAAAATCCCTCCCATGTTGAAGAACACATTAACAACAGAACAGTCATATTTATCAATGTTTATATACAGTAGGCATCCCTGTTCTCTAGGATGATTTCCTTTGGAAAGTATTTGTCATTTTGTAGCATATCATTTTTCAAAGGGGCAGGTTGGTCATACAACTTAAGTGTATGTGTAGTTTACTACACTGAAAAAAATTGGAAGTCACCACTTTCCCCCCCTTTCTTTCTTAGTTTTCTAACCTTTGTTTTTTTGTATTTTATTTTAAAATGAAACTTAATTTTTTAAAAAACTAAAACCACTGAAACTATCTCTCCAACAAACATCTCAGAGTCATTATTCCCCAAGAACATTTTTAAAGCTCCAAAAATCTCCATTCTTTCCTCTGAGTCTGACTTTTTCATTCACAAACCTGGTTGACCTTATTTTCTAAGAGAGAGGACAGATGTTGGGAGACGAAAGATGTATATGGAAAGACAGCCAACCTGTTGGAACAGTTACTGATCGCTGGTGACAAGGAGAATTTATGGGGCCCTTTGACCAATTTAAATTCATCATACTTAACCTCCAGCTGCCCTACCAGTTTGGAGGACTTGCTGACACACACAAAGCCCTTTAATAACCGGAGGGCTTTTCTTCAGGCAGTCTTAAGCTGCTCGATTTAAATGAAGTCAGCTCAGGAAACCTCTTTCTGGAATTAATTTTTTCTCCACATTAGCATTGGGGATGACCTGGTTTTCTGTCCATACTACACTTACTGGGGCTTCCATTGATGGCTACCCTGCTTCTTACCCTTTCCCTCTGCTGAGCGAAAGAAAACATCCATTTCTTTCTTTCTTTTCCCTTGGGTCCATCTTTGAGGGCTTGTGATTTCTATGAACTCCTCTCTATTGACTCCTCCTTGTACTTGATACCTTCCTATCTGGTACATCCCAGAGTAAAAAAAAGAAAACACTACCCCCATGGTCGTGCTACCATTCTTCCTGTCACTTGGAGTAGAGGGGAAAGTATTGAAAATCTTATCAATTTCACTTGGTTAAAAATTAATATAACTCCTCTACTCTTCTGCCCCAAACGTTCCATCAGTGCACAGACAGGAAGGAAGGAAGGAAGGAAGGAAGGAAGGAAGGAAGGAAGGAAGGAAGGAAGGAAGGAAGGAAGGAAGGAAGGAAGGAAGGAAGGAAGGAAGGGGTATTTTCCCTGAGCTAAGATATAATTAAATGGCCCAATTCTAAGCAGTTACTTTTCACCGGTTTGCAATTTTAAGATCTAAAATGGAAGGAATAAATGTTGTGTTATACATAGAAGTCATTAGATATGATTCCTTGACTTTTTTTGTGCCATAAAAATACTTCATTACTCACGCTGTCCATAAAGGACATTTAGTGATATCTTATACACATTACAAGAAAGAAAAAAACAGTGACTGTAGACATTAGCCATTGAGCCATGTTACCAAAGGTGATAAATTCAGTTGTCCTTGGTACTCCCCTTGATTCAACTTAGTCAGAGAGTAACTATTTACTTCCTGTAATTCATCAAATGTTATAAACTCAGCCCAGATTATTCACACTAATACAGCAAATTCACGTTAACAATTTAATGCTGATAATATCATAGTTGTAGGGTCATGAAAAAGTGTGTCTCAGCCTTATATAACAGAACAGTCAGAATCCAAGATTAAAAGCACTGCTTCTTACAACCCACAAAAATGGTATTTCTTCATTGAAAATTCAGATGATTCCAGGATCATTAAATAAATAGCAGCAAATTCATGGGAAAGGTAAGGCACACGACTGTTCTTTTATAAGATGGAAACTGAGGTTAGACTAGCAGCCAGCTGAGAGATAGCAAGAGGGAATGGAAAAGCAGATGAAAGTTGCATCTATTATTATTATTATTTACTACATTCTCTGTGTATGAATGGGAAATACTTTTTAGTGGGGCTGTATCATGTGATAAAATGTATAACCATTTAGAGTCATATTGTATATTGAAGTTGCATAAATTCTTATATAATTAATATTTACAAGGTTTTTTTCCTTAAATTTTAGCTGTTTTTAGGCTTAAAGATATTACCTGCAGGAATTGTAAACTGGATGCATTATTTTATAATACAAGGTTCATAAGCTGTTTAGTTTACTTATTAAAAGACATATAGCTAAAATATATGTGAATGCCTAGTGATCTTCGACAAGCATATTCTTTTAAATGCAAAATTGTTAGTGATGGTTCTATTTTTACAGTAAACGAAGAGGTGAGAAGACCAACAATTATTATTTCTGTAGACATCTCTTCACTGCATCAAAATACTAAAAGCTCCAATTGAACCGAAATAAAATGGCTGCTCTTATTACTGAAAATTTCCGCTTTCTTTCACTCTTCTTTAAAAGTAAAGATGTGATGATTTTCAATGGTCTGGTGGCTCTGGGTACTGTTGGAAGCCAGGAGCTGTTCTCGGTGGTTGCATTCCACTGTCCCTGTTCTCCAATTCGGAATTACATCTACGGTCTGGCTGCCATAGGAGTGCCTGCTCTGGCCTTGTTTGTGATTGGTATAATCTGGAACAACCACACTTGGAACTTAGTGGCTGAGTGTCACAAGCGAGGAACCAAGAACTTTTCTGCAGCAGCCAACTTCTTGATCTTTGGATCTGTCATGGGAAGAGCTGCAGTGGCTCCGATCACATGGTCAGTGATCTCACTGCTTCGCGGAGAAGCCTATGTCTGTGCCTTAAGTGAATTCGTGGATCCCACTTCCCTGGATCAGTTTCCACCTGACTACGGACCAGATATCCTAGCCAGGTTTCCTTGTGACGATCAGCCAGCCAACATGACACGTTTTAAGGATGAAGTTATAAGACGATTAAGATACGAGTCACAGGTAATGTATTTATTCATACAAAAAATTAATTTATTTACATATATATATATAAAATATACGTATATTATACATATACCTCGGTCTTCGTCGGTAATTCATTCTAGAAGACATGCCGAATACTAAAACCACATGACTTACCACATAACCTGATATTTCTGCCAGAAGAAATAGGGAGTCATGAGGCAGCCGACATTAGCAAGTTCTTCCTTGCATGTCGACTACTGGGAGAACGACGAACAGTGGAACAAGATTTCTGCTTCAAAAAGCAGAATACTAAATATGACAAGTTTTGAAGCAGTTGAGTACCAAGGTATGACTGTAGTATAAATAATCAGAAAGCAAAATCCAAATATGAACTCCAATACTCACTAATTCAGATTAAGAACATGGCATGCTAGAAACAAGTCATCAAAATGCAAGAAGTAACAAAAACTGTCTGTTTGCCCAGCCCACAATAAAAACCAAAGTATAACAACAAAAATCCTCAGTAGCATATCCCTTGCAAAAGCCTGCTTAAACAGGATCGTTTGGTAGATCCTATTCTTCATTGCAATACAAATATAGCTATCTATCTGAACATCTTTATTTTACTAAATGTTTTTAATGCCGTTTGTAAGAATATTTCCTAAATCTTAGTAGCCTCCAGAGCAAGTGTGAGAGTGCTCAGGGAACTGTGGAATCAGTTGGTTGCACGGAAGTCCACTCAAACAAAACTGATTGTTCCAGATATTTAATCCATAAAAATCCTCAAGATGGAAAAAAATGAAGTTCTACTATAATTAATGGTTTTACTATTATCCACTTACAAATGTAACTGAACTTGGCTGTATCAGAGTTTCAATTATATTTTAGAGTCCAATTTTTACTTCAAAGAAATAAAATAAAGGTAGGCTTTTTTTAAAATCAAACCAAGCCAAGCCGTGTTCTGCCTATATTTTCTCTCTCCCTTCAGCTCTTTGGATGGATGCTCATTGGTGTGGTTGCAGTTCTCGTGTTCATCACCAAGTGCCTAAAGCATTGCTGCTCACCACTCAGCTACCGCCAAGAGGCCTACTGGAACCAGTACCGCTCTAGTGAAGCTAGGCTGTTCCAACGGACCGCTGAGGTACATTCCAAGGTTGTGGCTGCCAACAACGTCAAAAACTTCTTTGGCTTTGTACATTTAGATAAAGAGGAACAGGAACTGATCCAAGCATATGATGTGCAAAATGTTCAGCCCAGGTCACAGTGGGATGCCATCACTGGAGTCTACATCTATCGAGAGAATAATGGCTACCCTCTCTATAGCCGCCTCCATAAGTGGGCCAAAAATATAATGGGAAACAGCTCTAATCCTGATAGCCAGGAAACAGCCTTTCTAGCTACCTAATACAGGGAGTCCTCAGCTTACAATTATTTGTTTAGTGACTGTTCAAATTTACAACGGCACTGAAAAAAGTGATTTATGACCGTTTTTTACACTTATGACTGTTGCAGCCTCCCCATGGTCGTATGATCAAAATTCAGACGCTTGGCAACTGGCATGTATTTATGATGGTTGCAGTGTCCCAGGGTCATATGATCATTTTTTGCGATATTCTGACAAGCAAAGTCAATGAGGAAGCCAGACTCACTTAACAACCGTGTTACTCACTTAACAATTGGGCAAGAAAGATTGTAAAACGGGACAAAACTCACTTAATAACTCTCTCACTTAGCAACAGAAATGTTGGGCTCAATTGTGGTCATATGTCAAGGACTACCTGCATCTACTCAATAGCTGTTCTACAAGCTTAGCAAAAGTCATTTTGAGCACTATGCTGGAAAGCATCCAAGAATTGATTTTATACTTTGACTAAACTCTCAGAAAATATATAGCTGATAAGATTTCAAATAAATTATGTCACAGGTGATATAAACCTATTGGTGCTGTCTCATCAAAAATAAGGCCTATGAAGCTCAGTGGGATATATTCTTATATAAGATTACAGTTTAACAGTCAGGTGCCAAGTAATATGGGGGGGGAGATAATTTTTTTCCAAGTATCTGTCCAATTGAACAGAAAGTTATTCATCAATGTATAATTTCAGGAAATATGCCAATTGACAAGCACATATGGTTCTTGATTTATGACTTGGCAACTATTCAAAGTTACAACAGACCTCCCCAGGGTTACTTATGATTTCAGTTAGAGGTTTTGATGGCTGGGCCCTCTCTGTGATAACAGATCTTATTTTGGATGTTCAGCAATCAGCCCACATCTACAACTGTTTGTAGTGTCCTGCAGTCATGCAATTATGTTTTACCCATTTTTTTTTTGCCAGAAACTGGTATTTATTTCTGGTTTCCAGCAAAAGAGATGCTCATTGGCTAAAATGGGTTTGCTTAATGATCGCCATGTTTACTTAATGACCACATTTGCTTAGTTATTGCGGCATTTGCTTAACCACTGCCATAAAAGGTTGTAAAATTGGGCACAATCACACAGTGAGTCACTTAACAACTAACACGACTTATCATAATTCTGGACTGAATTATAGTTGTAAGTCGAGGAGTAACTGTAACTTTCAAATCAGCCTGAAATACTGCTAAAAATATACATTATGTCCTTTTCAGGTGAAAGAGAAAAAAATATCCTAATTCTTTTATATTTCATTTGTAAGTGTGGTTACTAAAGATAAAAGCCACACTAAGTTGGCAAAATATTTTATTTGTAAAATCTGCTCTAACTTCTCTTGGTCTTTAAGATCTTTCTTTTCTGCATACATTTGATCAATTTATTAATGAAGGTAAAATTTTAAACACTGAAAAGTTGATTTGTTGTTTTAATACTTAATACTGCTAGATGCTAGAAATCATAATAGTTACTAGTTACTTTGGCCTTTAAGATATTCACAAGATATATGTGGGATTATCAGTGACTAAAATATGAAAAACTACAGAACTGGATGGCAAGGCAGAACCAATAGTGGTATATTGGTCAAATATTGGGTTAGAATTGGGGAGACCCCCGACTCATGGCATACAAATTCAATGGGTAGTTTTGAGCCAGTAACTTTACACCGAACCAACTTTATAGGGTTGTTGATGCAGGCAAAACTGGAAGAAGGCCATTCTATGTACACAGCCTTCAATTCCTGAAGAAAAAGCAGGACATAAAATAAATGAATAAGAATCTATTCAAATATCACATAACAAAATACACATGCCCTGCTGTTTTCCTCCAAGATGCATGACTGTCACTTAATGGCATAAGTGCAAAAGAATAAATTATGGTTATTTTCCCAGCAGTGCGTGGCATCATCTGCACTGTTACTATGCAAATCCCATGACACTGCGAATATTTTGGCCAGGATTATAGTCTTCTGTAGGAGAATGAATCAGGAACACTGGATTGTAAAATAACAGATGGAAAATGTATAGAAACTGCTAATTATTACAAACCATTTGTATATTGCTCTAACATTGATATAAAAATATTGTTAGCATAGTTATAAAAGTTCAGAATTCTGTGAATTGCAGATATAGAACAGGACAGGGCTTATAAAATCAAAACTGAGTACTTTATACTTAAGCTATGATGATGAGGCTAGTTAAATGGAATTGCAGAACTTTGCTCCTGCAGACAACAGCCTTTTAATTTAGTCCTTAAGCCTTGAAAATATTTTATACAATGCTTAGAAAACAGTGCTGTTATTATCTTCTAAGACTATGCCTAGATAAAATACAAAACATTTTAGGGAGGGAAGAACTATTTATTGACTACCGTAACCAAGCAGTTGGTTGCTTTCTCCCAATTATGAATTGTATACTTTAAAAAGAATCAAAGTCAAATAAGGCTACAAGTATAATTATTTTATTTAAATTTGGGGGGATATAAAAGGTGTAAAACATTTACATCACTTACACTGTTAATCTCTGGTCCTGGCTAGTCCAATCTGTTATTGAGCTCATTGGGAAATGCAAAAAAGCAGGATGGCTTTACTTACTACAGATGAGTTATATCCGCTTCCCTTCTCAACATACTGGGTTTGAAAGCAAGACCCCGAAGTCTGTCTACCGCAAAGGTTAGCTCTCAGCAAGACTGTTCTTGGATTGCACATACTCCAATGCTGCTGCCTTCACAGCCTGGATTGTTTCCACAGTGCCATACTTCTTCTCATACTCCAGATAGCGTTTAAAGAAAAACTTCATCTTCTTTGCTGTTAAGTTTAGGTGAATCACTCTTTCAAAAATATCCCTGTGAAAAACCCAAAATAAAAAAACAGTTTTAATCTGATATTTTATGAATCTTTTCTATTTAAAATAACTAAAATTGTTAGCTGATTTTCTCCTATACAAAATACATCCTATATGAGATACTGGAGCAAATCCTTTAGGTTTCTCAGTTATAAATCTTGTAACATTTCTTTGCCGAAATCAAGCCACCCTGTTTGTTTTAGTTTTAAGCTTTTGTTTCCCAAGCTTGCATTTGCAACTTTGCTGGAAATTAACAATCCTAACCTCCCTGCACATGCTAGTACTCACCGGATTTCTTTTTGGCTGCCATGTTTTATCATTACATCTATGTACACTGACCAGATGTCTGTACGTTTGGGGTATGTGCTCAGGGTGTTTTCAAACAGGGTCTTGCCATGTTCTGCATCACCAAACTGAAACTCTAACTGTGCCAGCTTTGAAATCACATCCACATCTGCAACAAAAAAAAGAAGCAGTTTAAAGGATACGTTCCACCAGTCATTATTACTTCTGCCTAAAATTTGAAGATGTATCTATTATTTAGAAATATATTGTTAGCTACATTCTCATTAAAAGAATTTTCAGAGCAGATTAGCAAACAAGACACAAAGGTCTAATCCAGATATGTCAAACACAAGGCCCGGGGGGCGGATGTGGCCCGCAAAGTGGTTTTATGTGGCCCGCGAAGCCATCCTGGAAACAGTGAGGGAACGGCCCCCGCTGCCTTGGCCCTGGCCCAGGCCGGCCGGGAGCCAATGTACAATTTTGTGGTGGCCATCTATGCTGAAATGCATTCAGTCTTAGCTCCACAAGGCCTTCTGGAAACAGCGAGGAACCAGCCCCTGTCGCGTCGGCCCCACCCCCTGGGTGCATGCTGGGGAGGTGTCACCCTTTATGAGGAATGAAGAAATGCACCATCGCCTGGAAGTGGCCCTCACCTACTTCATATATCCGGCTTGATGGGCTCTGCCCTGGTCCCACCCCTTTCTGCCAGAGACCCTCAGATCTGTCCCACTCCTGCCCAGGCACCCACAGGCACCCTTGACGCGAATGATGTAGAGCTGGCCATGCCCACCCAGTAGGCCACACCCACTCCACCCAGTAGGCCACACACCCCCGAGGGCAACTGCAATGCTGATGCGGCCCTCAATGAAATTGAGTTTGACACCCCTGGTCTAATCTGTTGTAAAATGTGCATTGTTCCTTGCAATACGGAATTTGTTTCTGTGTATTGGGATGAAAGAAAAAAGAATATATTTATTAAGCAATGGAGGTTAAAAAGCTCATGATGGAGGAAAATGACTGAAAGAGACATATATATGAATTGTTACAATACAGATATCACAGATATTAATCTGCTCTAGTCTAAAGGAAAGTCCAATGAGAAAGAAATAAACATCATTATTTAAGAAAGGAGGAAACCAAATAAATCTTACGCTCTTTGTCTGGCAAGCATTTCAGTGCCCGTGGCATAAGTCTGTGAGCTGCCTCCATCAAACCACGTTTCAGAAGAAAAGTGGTATACTTTACCCAAACAGATCTTTCTTGACGGAAGCGTTTCAGCATTGTGTTGTATAGGTCATCAGCTTCCTGAATAGATCAGGAGACAGGATTAAAAAAATCATCCTAAATATGCAAAACATTTTTATTTATATTGCTCCTAAATTACAAAGAACATTCTAGTTCTTTCTTTCACAAATATCAGTACCCTAAATTTCTTACCCTATTTTCCAATAATTATAGAAATGAGTAGGCGCTATTTTTATGCTAGATTTAGATATTTATGTAGGGATGAAGCTAAACAGACACGGTTTGAAAACAGCTGTCTTCTGTTTTTTTAAGTCTTAAAAGTTCTATACTAAAATAATATTTTTTAACAATTCAACATGTGTTCAGAATGCTAACTGCTATTCTATAATCTGACCAAAAATTCTATATTCAGTACTAAAGAGTTGAAGGGGAAATCTTGTCTCATATTTACAAAAATAAAAAAAATATACATTAAGCCTGTGTACCTTATTCAATGAGGTGCTTCACTGAGCACAAGCTTAATATTCAACTACATGTCCTGCTTCCTCATCATTAACTGCCAATTCTGCAATTTTAGACTATAGATTTCATAGGTCCTAGAGTGCATTTTGCATTCAATAATCCAGACCACAGCAATAATTTGACATTGAAAAGAGCCACACAGAGATAAACCATCTGCTGCTCCAAACAGAGGCAACATCCACAAGCCCAAAATGTAAAGGGAGGTTTAGGACAAGCTAGACCAGTATAGGCGCAGTCTTTCTTGAAATCAAACAAATATTCTTCCTGTCACACACAGAGAGATGAGCAAAAGTTCTCTTTATCATGCTGCTGTTAATTGGCATCACCTTATGTTTCTCAGAGGCGCTGTAGATGTCTGCCAACTGCTGAAATACCTTCAGAGGCTCATTGTACTGGACTGCTCTTTCAAAAACTTTCATCAGTCCTTCCTCTGTGCCATACATGTTCTCCAGGTTTAGCAAAGCAACCCACACATTTAGCTTTTCTTGTTCCTCTCTGAAGAAGAAGAGAGAAGACAACATTCAATACAAAGCTCTTGATTTTCCTTTTGATGTTGCTATTCCCCTCAAATTTGTTTGTGGCTAGTTTATACTGAATACTCCTGTATTTGGAGAAAGGTGAGAGAGAAAAGTTGCATGTTCCCTTTACTCTGCAAGTATCTTTATTTTAAGATCCAACCAAGCAAAATATAGTATGGATATGAACTGTTACGAAGGAAACTGAAGAACGACAAATAACAAAAGTCACCTAAAGGAGATTGTTTTTAGTGCCCTTTCTGCAACAGCTCTGGCTTTTTCTATCTCTGTAGCTTGGAGATGAAAAGCCATGAATTGCAACCAAAGGATGGAGCTGTCAGGATTGCTGAGGACCAAGCGGTCAAAGTCATCCGCTGTCTGCGGCTGTCGCTTGGGATCCATCAGGGCAGCTTCCAGCTTGGAGAGTTCCTTCTCTGCCTTTTGCTTCTCCAGCTCCTGTTTCTTTTTTGTTTGTTTTTTGGCCTTAAAGAAAGAAAGAAAAGGGAGAAAGAGAAAGGCCTTGACCACTGGAAAATCTGTAGTGCTGCAAGATAACATACTATAAGACAAAGTGGGGTGGATCCAAGAATCAGATACTAATCTTGAGCCTTTGGAGTGCTTAAAAGGCTCAATTAGACTAGTGAATAAGAATTTTACTATTTTTGTTACAGAGGAATGATACTCTGTCTCTTTCTAAGTTATTCTTAACACCAATAGTGCCACAAGAGTCCTTTTTTATCATTACGCCTTTTGCATTATTTCATTGTCCGCCTTTTTATTAAAAGCTAATATGATGCATATAATGTCCTATTTAGCTACAGACACATCAATGACAGATAAGGAGGTGTGGAGAATAGGGACATAACTTAAACTTTTATTTTATTTTTATCACTTCCAAACTTAGAATTCTTTCTTCCTCCTCACTTTATATTTATTTTTTTAAAGTGTTGTGAAAACCGCCACAACACTTTAAAAAAGTAAAAAATACCCCAGACATAAAAAAATTAGCTATGCCTACAAAAATATTCTCTTTTCAGAGTTACATATCTCATAAAAACGTTATGTATATGTGCATGATACTTCTCAAAAGCAAACTTTCTACATGAAAAAACCTGTATTTGGAGGCGCAGAAATTCAAGTAGTACACAGGAATTTTTCTTGTGGATGGTATGCCATAATCACTTAACTTTATAAAGAAAAGAATCTCTCTCTCTCTCTCTCTCTCACACACACACACACACACACACTTTCAACTAGATGGGCCCTTTTACTGAAAGGTTAACAAATTAATCCCAAGAGCAAACAATACAGAGATACTATACCATGGATTCAGCATCATTTTCTTCTTCGCTGTCTGAGCTGTGCTCCGTTGGAATCAACGTGGTTCCATCCAACACATTTAAGCCCTCCTCCCACATAAAGCTGGTTGAAACCTTCAGTCTTGGAACTTCTTTTCCCAGCTGAGAAACAAGCAGAAATATATACTCACATCAATCATCCCACTCAGTACAAAATATGGCTTTCACCATGTCAAAAGACCTATCCCCTTCCCGCAGCCGTTTACCTTAGGCTTCTTCTCATGCTTCTTTTCCTTCTCCTCTTCCTCCCGATAATAAACCTCAACACCACTATCACCGTCCTCAGTGCAATAAGCTCTCTTTTTCGCTGGCGTTACCTCCTGTCATTGAAAGAAAAGAAAGTGTTAAACAATAGTTTAAAAAATTAGTATGTATTTTTGCACATATATAGCAGAAAGAAGCTATATTTTCAACTATATTTGTTTAAAAAAATGTTTCCTAATCAAGCCTAAAGTCTCTTCCAGGATCGATACCTGCTCGCTTTCAGAAAACTTCCTCCTTTGATTTCTTGATTTCTGGGAGGGTGTATCCTTTTCACCACACGGCTTTTCATCACATGGAATAATGTTTGGCTTCCCTGTGTCTTCGGGAAGGAGAGAGAGCTCCACAAGGTTTTCTTCTCTGTTTATACTGCAGAATGATTAGAACACAGGAAATGATAGGAGAAAGAACTAGCATAATTATGAAGTCTATAGTGTCCTCTTCAATGTACAAAATGCTTTACATTTTTAATCTGTCCAGCTCTGCACCATTTCAGTAAGATAGTATTATGACCAGTTAATAAAATGATTAACATAAAGTAAAACACATACACAATTCACCAAAACACCGTATCCTGGTCCCTGTAGGCCTCTCTTTAATCATACATTTTACTGCACGGAATTTTGCCACCTCAGGGGAACTGTCGTTTTGGGAAAACATCCTACTTACCTGAGAACTTTGGCAGTGAGAAGCTGGTCTATACGTATGTACTTCATACAGGGTGGGGTGACATACTGAAGGGAAATTTGACCCACCACTGAATCTGATAACCTGTCAAGAAAGAAGACTGTAACTTCTTCAAGTGTACTTCAAAAGATAAAACATATATTTTTAAATGGTGCCCATGATATGGCTAAAAAAGTACAACAAGCCATGGCTGTGACAAGAATACAGAAGCTGCCTTTGTGTGACAATGCTATCTATAATAAGGATGTAAGTTCTATATTTTTCTAGTACTTCTCTAGTTGCCATATGGGGTAGAAAGGAATAGTGATTTTTTTTCAACCACAAATAATTATTCTCCAAAAGGAGATGGTAAAAAACTGCCGGATTTAAGGAATATATCTGCATACTAATTAAATCTGATAAGATTCAAACAGACACACACAAGGAGGCATAAACAGAAGTGAAATAATATCTCTAGTTACTTTTATGATTTGTGAATAAACTCACCCCAAAGAGATGCCTGATGCTGTAATGGATTTGACATAACCTCTGATGAGTTGACCATTCTGAATGTTATCAAGGGAAACAATTTCAGGATCTTCAACTTTATGACGGCCTTTAGGATTTATCCTAAAGTAAACAGAAAAATGAGTTAAGTGCCTCCTTCCTGCATAGGCAAAATAAATTGGAACGTCAAATCCCATACTATTCTCAAAATGCACATTTGTAATAAAATGGAATTGCATTGGGACTAAGTGCAGGTTTTTCTTCTGATAGTAGATGAGGCAATATTTCCTTACCTGGATGGCCGGAGGGATACTTTTACTGCATTGTCTTCAACAGAAAGAATATAACATCTATATAGAAGAAAAAATAAAAAGTAACCTTGTATGCAACTTCAGATGTGATTATGTCCAATAAAAGAAACAGCTGATTACATTATACGTGCCTTAGATGTATCATGTTGGAGCATTCCAAAACACTGCACTTAATATTGGCATTGGGAGATACTTGGAAAAAGTGGTCCAAAATAAAGTGGTAAAGTTATCAAGTGTGATCTAAAGGAAGATGTAACTCCTTTACTAAAACACATGCACTAGTTTTGATTTGTTTCTTTTCAGGCAATTCAGAAGGGTTTAGACTTGGGGTGGTTGAAATATTACATTTTCAAATTCAAGCTTAATTGCTTATTGCAATAACCATCAAAGAACCTCTCTTACATTTTCTTAGTATCCCTAGAAATCCAGCGGAATTTTCTTAAAAAAGTAACTAAGTTTTGGAAATTGCTTTCAGGAGAGGTTTATCTTCTTCCTCTTTTAATGAACTTTTCCAAAATTAGTTTTTAAAAATTATATTTTTAAAATCACAGATGAAATTGATGTTACAATTTTTACTGTCGTTCTAACCATTTGTGAATGGATGCTTTCACCCTTCCCTTTTATAGTCAGCAACCTTGAAGTTGGTTTTTAGGGGAGCGCAGAATGTAAATCTTTAAAAGAAAAACATTATTTTATGAAAATTATTCCTGAGCAAGGATCCATCCCGAAATATTGGCAGTCAAAACAAAAGATTTGTTTTCAAAACAGCTTAAGAAAATCAAATGATCTGAAAATGGGAATTCAAAATGTAACAACATGGCATCTTTCATATACTCTGGAAGCATAATTCCCAGGCTTCCAACGGCATTACTGGTTGGGAATTATACTCATAACAGATTGAAAGGTATCAGGTTGGAGAAGACTGTTCTAAGCAACCGGGCCACACAACATCTCAAGATGTCCTGGTTAATTTTAAGATGTTTGGCATTGATATTACATTGACATATTTCACAAGTCAAAATGCAATATAAAATTTGCCATCCAAAAGTAAGGAATAATCAAGATCATTGTTAAAGATAATTACCTTCAGTTATTTAAAGCTTTTGCAATGGGTCTCTTACCTGAGAATTTTTCCAATACTGAAGTCTTCAAGTGGCTGCTCTGTGTATGAATCATTTAGCTGGAAAAGACTGATTTTACCAATCCTTCCAAAGGGAAGGATAATATGCAAACCAACATGTGGAATAACTCGTTTCACAGTGCAAAGTGTAATTGTTCCTTTCTCCAATGAATGAATGCCTGAGGAAATCCAAAACAGACACTATAGATAACTGTTATAGAGTACATTTTCTTACACTTTTAAGATATTCGAGATTGTGGATTGCTAGTCTTATTTTTCAAGCATGCAACTTCTAAGCACAAAAGGTTTCATCCAATCCCAATTAAGAGTGCTAGAAGTTCTACCATAGTGTGCCAAAGACTGTATCAAACTACCAGTAGCAGAAACAAAATATACAATATAATCCTATAATCTCTGCAGCACTTACTCCCAGTAAATGGAGTAAGCAACTTTTTCCTAGCTCCAAGCACCATACCCAATATTTGTAACTTGGCACGGAAATACCTATTTATCTGATTTTAATGCATTGATCATTATTTAAGTATACCTGTTAGTGACAGAGAGAGTTTGGTTCCAGAAATATCACAATCTGTCACTGTTGCAGTCAAGGCCTGTCCTTTTTTGAAGCATTTCGTTGCATGTTTTATATCCTATAGAAAACAATATAGACCTATCAAAAGATGTTCACAATATTTGCAAAAAATGCCCAGTTTGGTTAATTGCTGATAAATATTTTGTGCTACTATAAGAGCTTTTCATGAGACACAGTTCTGGAGAGTTAAGGCTAAGCACAGGTTTCAAGCTATGGCAAATGATCAATAAGATATCTCAAAGTTTTCATATGAATAACCAAACAAAAGCTTCATGTGTCTATTTTTGGTCCTTAACTCTCAAAGAATGCAACAAGCCTTTTACAGGAAGATTATGGGCCATGTAAGAATGCTGTTATGCAACACGCAGGAGTCACAGAAGATGGCATAACTAGAACAAAAACGTAAAATGTAAATTGAGTCAGTGGAGAGAGCTAGTGTCTTACAAAAATACAAAAAATGGCAAACTGATAGTCAATACTTAGATTAACTCCAAAGAGTCATTCATAGGGCTATATTAACTTATGTTGATTGCTTTTTGCCCTGTTAAAGGAAAAGGGACTAGTAAATATAAATTATTTCATATACTTCCTTGACATAAGAGTCACAGTATTAAAGACTTGTTGAAGAAAGTTGGTGGGGGAGCTCTATTCCAGTAATGGTGACATCTATGTGCTAGCAAAACCACTATTTGTGTTATGTCTGTTGTGGGGATTTTATGGGATCTGATTAGATTTTATCAGATTAACAGTTGTCCCCTAGAACAGTGATGGCGAACCTTTTAGAGACCGAGTGCCCAAACTGTAACCTAAAACCCACTTATGCATCGTTGGGTGCCAGGTGGGTGTGGCCCATTGGGTGGGCGTGGCTGTGGTGGGACTAAAAAGTTCAATCAATTCCAACTTTACAAGATCTTTTTTTTCCCCGCGAGAAGTTGAAATTGACTGATTGAACCTTTTTTTTTTGTACATGACGGCGGAGGCCTAAAACGAAAAGGTTTTATAAAACCCAGCTGAAGGCCTAGGACTGGAGCGACGGCGCGCGTGCCCACAGAGAGGGCTCTGAGTGCCACCTCTGGCACCCGTGCCATAGATTCGCCACCACTGCCCTAGAACATTTAATAACACAGAAACAGGAAACAGAATTATAATCCGGACATAGTATACCAAGATACAGGTTGATGTGAAATATTTTAAAGTTAGTGCCTCTCACCAAATGATAAATTTCACATTACTAGTAGTAGCTTCCTAAGATATGCTTAAGGATATTGTACCTCTTATCCCTTAGCGATTACCTTGGGATTTGAAAAAAGCAGCAGCTGTGGGACTCTCCCTCTGATGGTAGAAGTGACCTCCACCTCCAGCCGTTTCTTTAATACATTGTACTGAGAAAATATACAACACACACTTCAACATTTCATTGGAAAAAGACAGAGAATTCATCAATGTAACCGCTAACAACAGGTTCTAAAATTCTTTCGGGGATTTCAGCATTGCCTGCACCTAATCTCACACACATATGCACATAAAACAAAGTAATAAAATAAAACTCTTAACTCTAACTCTTCAAAGTAATAATTTTGGAGGAAAAGATGCAAATGATTTTTTTTTAAATAATAATAACAATAATTAGACATTTCTCATTGTATTTTATCCAAAGTTAAAAGATAAGAAAAAATTCCAAGTGTATAGAGGTTGAGAAATTCTAGATCTCACCTTCTTAACATAGCATGCCACTGTGTGGCCCGATTTCGGTGTTTCTTCTGGGCTGTCATTTTCAGCATTCAAGGCTGCTTTACTTTCCTTTTTCAGTTCACTGTTCATAAGAGAAAGTAAAATAGGTGATGCCCAGGCATTCTACTTTGGCATTCCTAATTTCTCCCTTCTCTGCAAAGTATCTTCTATTTCATACTTAGGAACAAGCAGCTGCAAGGCCACATGCGTATTCATATCCCAAGATATCTATTACAAACTTATTTAACTCTTATCTAGCGTTTTGGATTATTTAGAAATATTTGTTCAGATTAGAATAGCACAACTGTAACTTATGAATAACGGCTGAAAGGAAAGTTTAGATAGTAGATTATATTTTAAACATGTTCTAAGGCTTCATCTTAATGCCTAAGCTCTGAACTGAAAGATATACTTACCTTGGTCGGATACTGAGCTCTAGGAATGTATGGGTGAAGTGGGTGTGGGTGATGGGCAGATATCTGTAAATTAAGAGATATTACCACATGAATACCATTTGGAATCATGAAAAACAGAAACAGCAAATGCATTCACCTAACACACTAACAATTACACAAGCCAATAGCTTTTCATCTGTTAATGTTAGGCTAGATTCATCATTTTCATTTCAAGTAAAAGGGAAAAATACATCAGAAAATGCAAGAAATTCCTACAGTTGTACCTATCTGAAACACTGAATTTTCTCCAGAAGGAAAAATGTGCTTCAATTATATAAAACTTGTTCTCAGGAATCCAAACACTTACAAGTCCAGTATCTGTCAAACGCAGTGGCAGTTATTCTCCAGGTTGCAGAAAAATGCACATGAATTGTAAGACTGTGCGTGTGTGTGTACGTTTGTGTGTGCCTTCAAGTCAGTGCTAACTCCTGGCAACAGCCTGGACAAGTCCTTGCAGTTTTTTTGGCAAGATTTTGGAAGTAGTTTGCCACTGCCTCCTTTCTTGGGTGCAGAGAGTGTGACTGATGCAAAATCACCCAGCTGGTTTTGTGTCTAAGGTGGAACTGGAACTCATGTCCTCCCGATTTCTAGCCTGGTACCTTAACTAGTACACCAAACTGGCTCATAAGACCTGGATCTCAATAAATACATTACAATACAAACATTTCAGCTTTCTTTCTTTTGTAAATCTCAACCTTTTTAATTTAGTTGATACATTTGAAACAATAAAACATATAGAAAAGCGCATTTAAATTTAAAAAGCCCACTGAAGCTTTACAACTGTTCATGGCAACCTATTGTAATTACATGGACAGATTTTAAATCCTTATCTCTGGTTGCTCCTAAAAAGACACCCTGACTCTGAGCTTATATTATAAACAGCCACAAGGAGTTTTCTCCATACAAAAGGGACAAAGCAACATTAATAAGTGTAAGAACTAACTCCTACACAGATGGAAAGCGGGAAAAATCACTGTATTTAACTTCTTTCACCAGGGGAGAATTCCAGGTTGCCTTCTTATCCCTTCCAGACTGAAATGAGTGGGTACTTAAATGGGAATATAGATCACAGTGCTTAAAACACTAGGCCAAGAATGAGAAGGCTTGGGTCTAATTCCAAACTTATAATAGTTGACTGGGTGATTTTGGAATTTCTACAGCCAAAAGCCATGTCACACGGCTCTAAGAAAAATTAGGAGATGGACAGGTGTGTATTCCTGAAGGAAAAAGGGAGAGGTAAGTAATCTAATCAGTAAATTTAACAAGAAATTTTTTTCTGGAACTAGGAGTAAAAATTAAAAACAAAATAGCAAATGCATGATAAATGCTGTGCTTGCTAGCCTATTGAGCAACAATGAAAATAATTGTTAGCCACAATACAAGAAATATATAAAATGTTGTCTCACTTGTGACTTTTAATGTCTCTGCCTCCAATCACCCGAGCAGTAATCTTCTGTCCAACTTTTAGTAATGATGTTGGAAAAGTGCCTACAATAACATCATCCAGGATCTGGGATGCATGAATGGAGCCAGTCAACCTACCATTAAATGCCACTAAGACATGAGTGGGTTTGACAGACTTAACAATTCCATTGACTATGTCTCCTGAGCTTGGCAACTGTTTTGTTACAAGTGAGGTATTCTCTAGTGTCTCTGATTCACGACGTGATCTGATTACATTCTTCTTCTTCCCTGAATCATGTACAGCAAATAACATCCCATGATCACCAATCTGTGTGCTTTTCAGAACCACTTTGACTGACTGTCCCATCTTCAGTTTTTCAGAATCAAATCGGAATGTGTCATTCAAGTGGGAAGCCACTGGGATTGCAATCAGCCGACCTGTTCCTAACAAGGAAACAACTGCATACTCTGTGGCCACATGGTGTACAACAGCCTCATACTGAGAATTCAGGATTAACTGGAATATATAGAAGTTACAGTCAGAAAACCAAAGAAAAGTCTGTTATATATGTAATATATTTGCTTTGCCCTATTTGAAACTTATGTTTTATCCTTCTTTGAAAAAGCTTCAGGAATTTCACAACTTTTTAGTCATATCCGAGAATTTATTACGACTTTCTAAGACATACCATTTGTACCATTTTAGGCTACAAAACTATGAAAGAAAAAATCCCCCAAACATTAAAAATTATTAAGACTAGCAACAGGTTTTGATGAAGGGAAACCCTTAGGATATTTACAGATATGCATCTATGCTGGATTTATTCTCACATGTGCCTATTATTCCCCAAAGGTTAAATAGTAACCTTAAATAATATGTGAAATACTATGACTTAAATCAACCACCACTTTTAAGTCCCTCTAAGACAGGGGTATCAAACTGCCGGCCCGCAGGCCGGTTTCATCATACCGGAGCCGCGCCCACTCCATTGCCAGCAATGGCAAAAAAGCTCCGATATGTCGCGTGATGTCATGTGACGTCACGAGTTTGACATGCTTGCTCGAAGACATAGGAAAGAACCAATATTTTTCCTTCTTCTTGGTATCTTTTAATATCTTTTATAAAGGTATTATTATATCTTAGGGAGGCATTCCATTATAAAGATTTGTCTGTTAGAGTAATGCTTTTTATGTGGTCTCATCATTACTCATATAAGCATGTATCTATCTTAGAATATAAAAAGTATAAAAAGGAATAAGGATATCATACCTTCTTGGATTTGAGAGACAGCAGTTCCTCTTGAAGAGATACATAGATCTTTGATGTTAGAAGATCAATACAGATAATTACAGCTTTTACTTTTTGACCGCCAAGAATACTTCTGCCTTAAAAACACAATACTTAGATGAAGATAACGGTTCCATGTTCAGTTAAAGAAAGCAACAATTAATGATGCCCTAATAAGAGAAACTTTACATCCTTACTATATAAAGAGCAAGCTCAAATCCCAGTGACTTCAGAAACATAAGTAGTTTATTTGACAACAATAGTGATCAGCTATTACTTTTTTCTAAGATTTTTTTTCTATTTCTCCCCGTATGCACTAGGCTTTTCTGGTGGACTCAGAGTGTTAAATAGGTCCATTAGCTTTTTGACTTCAGCCAAAGCTGGAAAACTGCTACCATCTAATTGGGCTATAATTTTACTAGCACAGTAGAGGGAACATTCACTTGGTCCCTTGTGTCCTTATTATCTCATTCCTTCTGCTCCGAAAAGATGTAACTCTACAGTAATCAGCAATTCATTTCTAGGCAACAAAAGATAGAGGGGATCAAGCAAGAGTTGGAGGGGGATAAATACTGTACCTCCAAGTTGGCTGTAATTGGCAATTACAGTCAAATCAGAAACATGTGGACCACTGAAAACTGCTGAACCATCAGCCTTAACTTCAGTAACAACCAGTTCTAGCCTCTGCCCCACTTTTAATTTGGAGAGTTTCTTAGCCACATTGGAATCATCTGCCAATAAGAAGAAAATGAATTAAATTTTATTTGCAAATTGATTTTTCATTCTGAAAGCGTATAAAGTTAATGTACATTTTATCTTCAATGTCGTAGTAATTAAGTTCTTCTAATAAATGTCCTTAAGTTAGTTCTCCTAGAATAAGACAAAAAAATAGCAATCTGTGGCCTCCAACTCCCTTTTAACTCCCTACAGTACTCAGCAGGGCAAAGAGCTGAAAGGACGAAGCATGCCAGAAAAGGTGGAACTCTTAATACCCGGCAATGAGGGATGATGCAAGCTGAAGGCAGCACCATCTGGTGGGCCACAAGTTGCTTAATATTGAGAGATCCGTTTAAGCACTGACCCTTGAAAATTGCCTTCTTGTGTTTAACTTATTATGGGAATAAGTGAGAAAGAAAGAAAGAAAGAAAGAAAGAAAGAAAGAAAGAAAGAAAGAAAGAAAGGGAGAAAGAAAGGGAGAAAGGGAGAAAGAAAGAAAGAAAGAAAGAAAGAAAGAAAGAAAGAAAGAAAGAAAGAAAGAAAGAAAGAAAGAAAGAAAGAAAGAAAGAAAGAAAGAAAGAAAGACAAAAAGTCATCAGGCAACAAATTTTGTCTGAAATAGAATCCTATGACTCTCAACTTTTATTATTTTTTAAAAATATAAATGTCTGCATAGCTTCACAATGCAGCCATTGTAATAGCAAATGCAGACATAAGACTTTCACATGCCATCCTTTGTGTTCCCAAACACTTTTACCTCTATTGCTCATGAAGCTCATAATCTCCTGCAGTTCATTAAAGTACTGTTGCAGTAGGGCAAAGCTCTCAGAAACAGACCCCTGAACAGAGCACTCTGATATCTTCAGGGACAGCAAGATGCGCTGCTTCTCCTCATCAACACTGGTCACCTTGGCAAGTACAGTTTGACCTACCACAAAATGGTCTTTGGTGTCTGTCACAAACTTGTCACTCATTGCCTGCAGTGATAAGGAGACAGGATACAATTATATCAGCATCAACCCCAAGGCCTCCAAGAGGAGAGCAATACACCCCAAATGGCTGATTAGGCAAATTCTACTAGTTACTGCAGTATTTATTCTTCTACTATCGTGTTTCCCCAAAAATAAGACCGGGTATTTTTATTTTTTATTTTTGCCTCCAAAGGAGGCACCAGGTCTTATTTTCAGGTCTTTTTTACTCACCTTTTGCACTGACAGCTCTGCCCAGACGGTCCACTTCTTCTGCAGCCGAAGGAGCAGCTTCATTCTGGCCTGCATTTCGCAGTCAGGCCTTTCTGGAAGCCTCTACAGCTGAGTACCGAGCTGTGGATTCAATCCATAGCTTGGTTCTCGGCTGCAGTGGCCTTTCCAGAAATGCAGGCCTCACTGAGAAATGCAGGCCTGGCTGCAGAAGACGCTTCAGAAGAAGTGGGCCGGCGAGGAGAGGCCTGGCTGCAAGATAAGTGGGTGAGGGTACATGGGGCAGATCCACCCCCACCCCCACCCTAGCTTGATTTTTAAGTGTGTGCCTCACCCCAAAACTAGGGCTTATTTTGGGGGTAGGGCTTATATTAGACGAAGCTAGGGCTTATTTTTGGGGTAGGCCTTTACTTTCAGGGAAACAGGGTATCTGCTGCCTCTGACTTATTTCTACTGCTCAGTATGAACCAGCAAACAGCATGCTTGTTCTTGCTTTACATTTAATAAATAATGTAAGTTGCATAATTCTATTCAATTTTATTCACTTTGAAATTCTGCCTTTTTTTGTTGTTGTTCCTGAATGCAAACCTTGCCTGCAGAATTTCCAAGTTCTGTCCCTACTCACAATTTTATTATCAAGCCCATTCCAAATGAAAGTTTTTAATTCTCAAAGGTGAATTGACAGTAGAACCAATAACCCAAAAAAATGGTGGGCTTCCCTTTAATAAATGTGCCTCTGCATTAATGGGGAGGAGGTTGGATTTGACGGCCGAAAAGTCCCTTTCCAGTTCTATGATTTTATGAAGAATAATATGACATAAGACATTTTAACTTAACAATTTGTATTAACGAATACCTCTCAACCAATGCATCTGACTAAAGCAATGTTTATAATGAACACTGAAATAGGTCTTACCGATTTGGGGGCCAGCCCCGTCAAACCATAAGGAAACTCCACAAATACACCATAAGACATGATGTTTCTTACGAAGCCAGTAAGCAGTAATCCAGGCTGGATATCAACAAAACTCTTCGCTAAATGTTCATCCTCCATAGAGGAAATCAACGCCGGTTTTCTACTCAAGATCTACATAATGAATTAGGGAATTTTTTTTAAAAAAAAAAAACAGGCCTGGGAAGTTTTGTACTGGATAATAGAAATTAAACACTCCACCCAAGACTATTAATTATTAGAAGCTGAAAATGTGCTATAGCGGAGAACATCTCATCTGCACTGATCAGTGTTTTTTAACAAGTGTCTTGACGGAGCCAGAATTTCCAGTTAGTATAGCCCATCTGAAGGATAAAAGAGGCTGGGGAGATATGGAATAAATCATGATGCAGACAGCCAACTGAATACAAGTCAGATGCCATGGGAGGAAAAACCAATGAATTCTCTCCACCCAGCCAGCAATTTGGCTGGGAATCACAAGGCTTTGGAGAGAACCACTTTAAGTACATGCTGTTGCACAATGTAAGGTGGCAAATGGATTAAATCAAATCTTGGTGAGAATTAAAAGGATACAATGTGACCTCCTTTGTTATGGAGGCATATAGCCTTTTGGAGAACATCACCTTCCTTGAGCCAATGCCACCACAACTTGCTATTGGACACGTGATCAGAAAGTTGTGCCGTGGGAAGGTAGGCCGAAACATTGTTGGGTAGGATTGCAACTTGTAGGCCATCTTCTTTCTTGTTCAGAATTTTTACATCTACAATCTAAGTAGCACAATAAAAAACAGAGGTTTTAAGACTTTCACTTTATAATACAGTATTTCCAAACAGCTTTATCTATCTATTTAAAAATAAATGTCTAGGAGCAGTAAGAATCTTTACTGAATCTCATATGGAGCATTTTATAATATTACTTCATCAAACAGCTCAACGCTAGCTCACTGCTGTATCTTTAGTCCCTTACGGAAGCAAAGGGTCAGTCTAGACCAGGGGGTCTAGAATTTCTTGTATACAAGTTTCTTTGTTGGAAATTAAGAAATGAAAACAAGGGAAGTGAAAATGGTTAAGATTAATACCAGAGCTGGTTGTGTTAATCAAAAACACATCCTCTCAACTGCTTCCTTACAGGAGAAAAATATTTTAATCTTGTTCTTAAAGGGGAGTGATATGTGGGGGAAGGGATCAAAATTGTTTTTTGAGAGTTCAATGTCACTATTCAAAAATCAATCTCCCTCACCTTTTTATCTTTTGCTCTAGAAAATTAAGAATTTTGACAGGGTTGCTGAAACTGGAACCTTTCCTCCCCTACATATCAGGGAGTGAAAAAATATCTTCGATTATCCCTGACAGCTGTAATGTTTGCTTCTGACATTCTTCTCAAGTAGTGGAAAATACATATTTTAGAATAAATTACCTGTCCAGTTTCATATACCATTTCATGGTTCTTTGAAGTTTCTGTTCTTCCAGCGTTCTTTGAAATAGCATCCTCTGCCAATCTGAATGAAAGCAACAATCTTTCCTGCTCAGGCTCACATTTTAATACAGTCACTTTGACTACCTGTGGGTTTTTTAAAAAAGAAAAAAAACGTAATTATGATTAAATACATCCAGGTCTACACACTGAGGATTAGTTTGCCAATCATATTAAACTGGTTGAGCAGCAAGTATGTACACACAGCAGCCATACTGTCTATGAACTGATCCACTATGTTTAACATGGGGTATGAACAAGGACCCTTAGCTTTATCCATTTGGAACAGAGGATGAAGACTAAACAAACTACAAATTAAAACATACCGCTTCACTCTGTGACTTCTTTCAGAGAAATGTCATAACGTAAGATATCATTTTCTAGTTTCTTCTAAGCAAAAGAAGTCAGATTGCTGTTTTAATACCATATGCTTAGCTTGGCTATCCAAACCATGGTTATGGGTTAATTGTGCAACTAATTGTGGACAGAGCCAGCAGGTACCAATGGATCCAGCATCAACATACCACCACATGTATAGTTACCATTAGATTCAGACTAAAACTTTATATATATTAAATGCACAATTGCCATGTATTCCATAATGACAGCATTACATAATTGCTCCTAGGTTTCCTTTATGTCCTATCTCTATTGTATTAGCAATTTCTTTATTGAGAAATTCCATAACTGTTCTTTGGACTTGTGTAGTTGTATAGATTTTATTTACTCTTTAATGGTTTTTTTCACACAGTGATAGCTTAAAGTGCTATTTTTTTAAAAAAAGATAAAATATTCTACGCTGCTGTCTAGATTTTAAAATATTATTGCACAAATGCTAAATCTGTTATACAAACATATGCATTTCAAGTAGCTGTTTAAAGTGCAATACTCAAGGATACTTTTTACTTCTATTAAACGCTTACCTGGCCTTCATAGAAGGCTTCTTGAGGAACAGTTAAGGGGAGCAAACCAAGTTCATTAGTAGGTACTAAGCCCCTCACATCATTATAGAATTTCACAATGCAGCCAAATTCCTTAACACACGCAATAAAACCATGAGTGATCAGGCCTGGCTTGGCATCTTCAAAACTGGCAAGGACAGGGAGCTTGGAATTAACAAGGGTTCTCTTGAGAGTCAGAATAAGCTTCTTTGTTTCAGGATCGGAGGCAAGTACCTGGAAAAGCAAGAGATGGGAATCATATTTGTTAACAAAAGTAGTTTCAAGTCAGGTTATGACTAATTTATGTAACTAGTTAAATGGAGCTAAATGCAGTTGATATAATTCCTAAATTCAGAAATATTAGTGTCATTACAGCTGGAAGAAAATTGGGATGCATTTTTTTACATTATAAATATAATAATGAACTAACTCTGAATGCAAATAATTTAAAGTAAAAGTAACCATTATCTCTCCAGAGAAACTTTTCCCCAGCTGGTACCTTTGGGATACAATGGAATAATTTTACACTTGCCTACATAGGAATGACTGTCAGAAAAGTCAATAGATTTTACCCGTGCAGGTACTCCTTGAGTTACGATGGAGCAGGATTGCCACCACTACATGATGCAATCGTAAAGTGTGACTCACGTGACTGCATCACTTAGAGATGACAATCCCAGAAGTCCTGGCTGGGGTCATAACTCAAAGATGTGTGGGCTGTTAAGTGTGAGTTCCAGATAAAGAGTGCAGGGCTGTGACAGGGAGGTGGAGGAGGCCTACAAGGAGGCCGACTATTCAATTGACTTTGCTTGTAGGAAGTTCACAAATGGCAAGTATGTGATCCCAGTTCCCTGTAACATTCTAATTATGAGCTGGACACCAACTCCCCAGATCACAATCATGTGACCACAGAGAGGCTATGAAGGTCAGAATTTTGATTGTCCATTTTTTTCAATATGCCATAATTTTGAACAGTCACTGAATGAATGGCTGTAAGCCGAGGACTACCTGTATTAAGAAGACTTACACAAGATTATGACAGAGGTGGTGTGTTAATATCTAACTGGTGAGAAAGCGGTGTCAGGATTTATTTTTAGTGAAGCTTATATATATTTCTAGACATGAATAGAGGACAAAATACATGGCTTACTTTAATTTAGCCCCAGAGATCATTGATTAAGTTAGGCTAAAACTTCCCAATTTGCTTAAAGGTACCTAGCAAGCATCAAGGCTGAAAAAGTTTGCATATCCAGTTGAAAGTTTACCCACATTGTCACAACAGCTTTAATGATAAAAGTTATATAGAAACATCAATAACAGTTAAGACAATTAAATTAAAAATATTTAAAATAGAGTTTAAATTTAGTTCCTTACAGAAAAATCTTACCCGACACTTAACAGTAGTCCCCGTGCTATACTTCTTCTCTGGCTGTTTCAATTTCACATCTGCAAGATGTAAATTGGGGACAAAGCCTTTGATACTCTCAGTGACCTTCACCTGCATGCCCAACGGCTTCAGAGTCAACACTATTCCCTAAGAGTCAAAAATAGATAGCAGTAACTGAAAATCAAAATCAAGGTATAAACAAATCATTCAACATTTCTTCTTCTTAAGCACATCAGCAATTCATAACTCACCTAGTGGATCTCATAGTGATATTTATATGCCTCCCCTAATAGATCTATGCAATAAATGTAACAGAACAAAATAACACTATTCTACCAGAGTTACACAAAGTTTGGACTCAAATAAATATACCAATAATGTTAACATTCTTTCAGAAGTACTTGCATAAAATTTTCATTCTGAAGTTTGTTCAGTTATGATAATTTACAGAAAATATAGACAGGATTATCATAGAAGCAGATTTTTTTTCTTATTGGACTTACTTCTAGCACTTGCCCAGGATGTAAATCATGGTATCTCAGAAATGGAGCATTAATAATATGTCTACAAGAATAAAAAGAAAGAAAATAATTCGATTTGGTGTGAAAAAGTAAACAGGATGAAATTTAAATAATAGCTCTCCTGCCCCAGCACACAAAATATTTTTGATAGAAAAGCGCAATTTGGTTCCAATTTGAATCTGTATTTGATACAGATCAATTCAGTTTGAAGATCAGGAAAATGAAGCAGTTTGATCTTTCAGTTCAAATAGTCTATCTGATTTTCTGATTTTAACCAGATTTTTTTTTTTGAGGCATCAAACCTGAATAAATTTTACAATATATTGTAGAAAGTTGACATGATGATTTGATCAAATTGGCTTCAAATTAACTATATGAATCTACAGAAAATTCATGTGAAAACGTATTCAGTAGCTTACTCATCTAACAAGAGCTGCTTCAGACTTAATAGAGTCTAAAAAATTTCAACCAAACAAAGGTCCCAATTCTCTTTTTCTTTTGCTCTTTATGTCCCCTACCCATTGCTTCCTGGAAGACCAAAAATTGCAGTATTAGCTATGATAAGCCTTCAGGAAACTTCGGCAACTGTGTTCAATATTGTGATGAAAATCATTTATTACAGGTATAAGCCTTTTTATTCCAAGTTTTATACTAATAAATTGCTTACAGATTATATAACTTTTGTCATGTAAACAGCAACACTGAAATATTTGTATCCAAATGGAGAAAAACAGTAATTTGTGAGTCACTTTGCTAGTCTTTTTCAGCATTCTACCAAACTGGTGGTTCTTGAATTAAAATACAAAAGTTCAAAATACATAAAATAAGAATGTGCAGTTAACTCTAGTTAAGTCTGCATAAATATCTAGGTATGTATGTCTTTTTGAAAGTAATGGGGATTCAGCACCCAAGGGAACTGAAACATGTCAGATA